AGTGAGGTAAAGCTCTCCTTTTTTTAATTTAGTTAGTGCATTTTTAATTGAATTTATTTATTGGTCCATTTATATATTTCTGCCTTTTTGTCTAGTTATGTCAGTTTGGGTCCTCCATACTGCAGAATTTGAAAGAGGTAATTTAATGTCTGAATCAGGTGTGTTGGAGCAGGAAAAACATAAAACCTGCAGGGCTGCGGCCCTCCAGGACCAGGATTGCCCGCCCCTGCTAAATGGCATTCAGTTTGTTGTTTCGCTGCTCAAACAGCAGCTGTGTTTAGTTACACACCTGGTTTCAATGAATGGGTGATTAACAGGCTTCTGCAGAACTTGGAGGAGTTAATTCAGTGACTGAATCAGGTGTGCTGGAGCAGGGAAACAAGTAAAACATGCAGGGCTGTGACCCTCGAGGACCAGGACTTACCACCCCTGGTTTAATGGCACTTTTTTAAGAGTAAAGCTGTCATGTTGGAATGGAACAACTAATGCATCAGCATTGTTTTTTGTTTTTTCTTTTTTTAACCCAGAGCAGAAAGACATCAGCACTACATACTTATGTATTTGTTCACTATGCAAGTCATATCGTCATCACAATAAGCTCTGTTATCTCACATGGCAGGTTTTCCTGATGTCGTGCAGACCTGGCGGAAAGCGGTGAAAAACATTTGTGGACAAAATTCTTGAGAACGACACAAAAACTTAACTGTCACAAAGTTTGTTGACAGGTTTTTACTTTTTATGGGAATTTACATTTACTCCATAATGTATGTCATGAAAACGTCGGACAAAAAGATCTAAAAACATTGTGGTAGCAAACAATAATAATTTAAAGGGGACATATGCAAAATCCACTTTTTTTAGCTGTTAAACACATGTTGTTGTGGGCTTGGAGTCTCTACGAGTGCAGAAAAGTTTAATTTAGTCTCTCCTGGTGCTGCAAAGATATCTTTATATTCTGTTTGGCTCATGTTTTTCAGCCTGTTTTCTGTCACAATATTTGTGACAGAGAAGCTAAATAAGGTCTGACTTACCAACTAGAATTTGTTGGTCTTCGTTGTCCTCTAGTTCTGGGTCAGACTCTGACTCCAACATGTAAGGCTGGATAAACAAGTCTTCTGTTGTTGACATGTTTTTTATGAAACTAGAATGGACCGGTCTGTAAGCTGGAGGGGGTGCGGTGTGAAGCTCCATGTTTGGATTTAAAGAGACAGCCTCAAAATGAGTTAATCTGAGACACACCTCAGAAAAGGGGTGAAAGAGGGGCTTGTGGAGTTACAGTAAGGAGGAAATCAGACAAAAACATTGCAGTTCCACTTTATAATGACCCCAACTGAAGGATTTAAATGTGAAAAAGAAGGATTTAAAAGCACGATGTGTTTCCTTTAACTTTTGGCCACGACTGAAACACAGAGGTCTAACTCAGTTACACACAAAATTCAAAACTTGGTCAGAGCTAAGGCCCAATCTCTAAGTATTATAATGTGAAACGTGGATTTGCTTTTTCTTTTTTCTTTATGCAGACAAAGACAGGATGGTTCAGAGGTTGGTTTAAGTCAAAACCCAACAGTTCCCAGAAGGAAAAGTTGGAGCAAGAAGGTCCAGCTCAGACTGTAAGAGTCCAGCAGAAGGTAAACGGCTCATTTACAACCAAGGCTTCACTGGGTGATGGGACCTTTTTATATTCTCAGGACCCACCTCCTCCTCCTGCTGGTCTTTATCCTCCTCCAGCACCTGCAGCCCTCCCACCTGGAACATTTCCACCCCCGCTCTCTGCTGCGGGGATAAATCCATTTTCGAGGAAAGCAGGTGAGCTGTCTCTTGAATCAAAATGACTTCACGTTGTAATAAATTTAAAAACCATGCTCAAGCCCTGAACGTTCTGCCTGTGGGTGAACGTACAGCCACCCCCACCCCCCACCCCCCGGCCTGTTTCTGCGTAGCTGCAAATTGAACACATTCACAGATCAGTGTCCAGTTCCTGTCACTATATGCAGTTGCAGTTATTTCGCACTGAAATGTGAAACTTTGCAGGAGTTTGGCTGCAGATGATGACTTTTAACCTTCATTTATTTATGCAAATGGAACGGGTTTTTTTTTTTTTTTTTTGTATTTTTATTAATGTTTGCGTGTTTGGTCACAGGGCAGCAGCTGGGGTAGGAGCTGCAGGACGTTACAGGTACAGTCACACACTGGTAAATGTACAGGATATCTGTTAAAACGACTTGGATTAAACCTTTCACTGTGTTTGCAGGATGGTGTCACTGAAATCACGAGGGTGCACATGTACAAAATGACTAATTAGTGAAGTGAGGAGGGACAACCTAGTACTTGGATTTCTTTTGAACCCCTGCTGAGCCCCCTGCCACCGTGTTGCATGGACGGTACAGAAATACTATCATGTCATATTGCACCGACTGAAACAGCTGAGGTGTGCTTCCTGAACGCTGACTGCAGAGAAACTACCACTGGGTGCAGGACACATTTGGGTGGGGGGGCTCTACTGACCCCAGGGACTGTTTCCACACTGAGGATGCAAGTTACCATATAGTAACATGTGGTACATTTATTTTTTACACACTACATACTGTACATGCTGCATCTGATTATAGCTTATGAATCAGTGCCAACACTCTCAGTCCACCAGCTCTATAGTATTGGTGTGCACAGTGTATATAAAAGTACACATATAGAACAGAAACTAGATACATGGAAATACTGTAGTTTTTTTTTTTTTCAGCTGAGAATGACGTTTGAGTTTTAAAAACTTTAAGAAACTCAATGCAAACGGGGAAATCAAATGAAAAAAGTTATTCTAATCTGTGTTAAATGGCGTTTTGTTTGAAAAGGTTTACATCAGCAGTTGTCCAGATGTATCTAGGGTGAGTCAAAATTTTAAGGACGCCCTTTTATTTCAGAAAAAATACAAGAAACTGACATATCTGAATATTCCCAGTAAGGTGAGGGGGGCCAATCTTTGGAAAAACTTGCTCTTGTTCAAATATGGCAGCTTTCAAAATGGTGGCCATGTTCTGAACCTAACCTAAAAGATAGGCCCACCTCACCTATTATTTGTTGGGGTATTTAAATGTCATTTTCCCTTTTCTTTCTGATATAAAAGGGTGTCCTGAGACTTTTGACTCACCCTGTAGGTATGAAATTCTGCAATCCAGTTTGGCACTCAAAGCCGGCGTCACACTACAAGAAAATCTTGCAGATTTTTGCCCTTCCGACAACCTTAAGGAAGTCCAGATTATCGTGATGGCTCTAAAGATAATCATAGCAGATATTCCTGCTGTGAGTGATGAGTTAAGAGTGATCTAGTCGGCTCAGAAGGACGTCGGGACCGCCCCGACCTCAAATCAGGGATATTCAACATGTGTTATTTTTTGGCCCGATATCACAGTGTGTGAAGTGTTCACCCGAGCTTTCAGACTGTGAATGAGACGTGTAGCCAATCAGAAAGCGAGATGATGTAAACACGGAGGGGATTCCAAAATACAGAAGACATAAAAACTGTCATGACTCACCAGAAAGTCTGCTGGATGTTAAAAGTCCTATGGAGTTGTTTTTCCTCTGGTAAAAATAGTCCACAAACGATCAACATTGTTTCTTCCTCGTCGCAAATGTTTATTTGCTCTGAACTCACATGAGATTTTTTCTCTGACTTCTTAAATCTCGCGAAGTTACAGGAAGTCTCGCGTGATTTAATATCTGACATCTGAACATTCATGAATGAAATATCTTTTCGTGTGTGGTGTGTTGTCTCTTGCTGTGTGTCTGTACACCACACACTGTAGGACCAAACCTGGTATATCCATGATGTTTTTATCCCCATGTGTGAACTCTATCAGTCTTTGACAATCAGCCGACTGTTTTAAAATCTTGTAGTGTGACACAGCCTTAATCTAAACAAAGCTGAATTCACCAAATAACAAATGGGAATTTGAGTCACATGACTAAACACAAATATATTAAAAATATATATACAGTATATATATATAAATATGTACAATAGGTTGCCTTCAGGCCCAGGCTGCTCCTTTCAAAAGAGATCTGTGATCTCAGTGGGATTTGCCTGGTTAAATAATGGTTAATAAAAAAAAATAACATAAAGAAAAGGGAAAAAGTAAGAGAACTGTCAAGAATAAATATTAAGATCAAACACTGAGCTCAGTATTCAAACTTTAAGGGTCTTGTAGACTGGTAGGTTTACCATTTCAGTTGAACTTATCTTTCTATTAGCATACTTTATTCAACAAATCTGAGTATAAATATGTACCAATATATCAAAACTACCCGATTTTTCCATTGTTGACCTACTTTCTGTCACTGAAGCTGTTTCTAAAGGAATTTTTTTTCTGACCAGCTTCATGACAATGAATGCTTTGAATGTCTTGTACAAATTTTGTAAAGTGTAGAAGCTGAAGTTGTAATATTCAGACAAAGGAAACGACACGTTCTCATGTTATCAGGGTGCCAGGATTGATGGCAGCACATGTCAGGATGAGCGGGGTGAGATTAGACAGGCAAACAGCCAGAAGCCTTTATTGCCCCTCCCGCGCCAGCTTATATTTACAGACCTATACTGTTTATGTGCTGATGATTCTTTTGGTATCTTTAAATGAGAACAGGATTTATATCTATGTTGTCATATTAAACTCATTTAATTTAATTATGTTTAGCTTCCAAGAAACTAACTCTTCTTTGTCTTGAGTTTTGACTGCCTTTCAATTTTTTGTTTCATTTTTTGCACTTATGCTGATTTTTTTCACTCATTTTCAGTTCTGTTGTTGTATGTGACTGCAACAGCATACTGTACAATGTGTCCTTTTTAAGTACAGTAAGTAGACAAGTTAAGGACAAAACAAATCTCTACAGCAGATAAAGGCTATTTGAGGGTCATGTCTTAAAGACAAAGACCTGCCTAATCAAATAAAAATCCGTCCATCCATTTTTTGCTGGTCCAGGAAGGAAACCCAGACCTCCCTCTCTGCAGGTGCACTCCCCAGCTCCTCCTGGGGGATCCTAAGGTGTTCCCAGGTCAGAGAGAAGATGAGTTCCCTCCAGCTAGTTCTGTCATTAACCTGAAGACACCAACAAAACCACATCATCTGCAAAATGCAGAGACAAGTCCTAGAGGTTACCAAACCAGAGACCCCACTGTGGGTCCCGAAACATCAGGGTGGGATCTTTTTTAATTACATTTTAAAATAACTGCTAAAAATAGGTTTGTCTTAGTTGTGACAAGAGTGTAATTAGTGCACTTAAAAATGGATAAGAGTAGCATAATAACTATTGTTACTATGCACTTGTTTATTTTTTTGTTTATCAACAAAAACAGTTGGGTTACAGGTCTCTGCTACTCTTATTTTATGGGTCAAACACTGAAAAGTTTGGGAACCATGGGTCTAAGGCAGGGGTGTCCAAACTACGGCCCGTGGTACCGTTTTTATTGGCCCGCAGCTAATTCTGTAAATATAATTGAATATGGCCCGCACAAGAAGCAGTCCATTTATTGCGGAGCCTCTAGCTCCAGCTCCGAGCGTCTGATCCAAGCGGCACAAGGCTTGTTTTAAAGCTCTGGGTCTGCGCTACAACCTGGTGGTGGTTGCAAGTTTCTGGGACGTTCCCCAGCAGAGATATAAACGGTCAAATGTCGGCGGGCGAGCTCCGGTGGGTGAAACGACTGAATTTCAGCACGGGACTGCTGTTGCTGATGCAGGGGAATAAAAGGAAGAGATCCAGTCAGGTGGAACCGGTTCTGGATGCTGAGCACTGGGTTTTATAGCCGCCTGCCTGCTAAAAACCCCTCGGGCGATATTTCTGCAATAATGCAAAAAAATCAGAAACCCACCTGATGGGTCTGTTCCAGGCAATAAAAGGAACAGATCTGATTAGGTGGAATCGGTCCTGGAGGCTCAGCACCGTGTTTTATAGCTGCCTGCCTGCTGGAGCCACTGGCGGGCGATATTTCTGCAATAATACAAAAAAATCAGAAACCCACCTGATGGGTCTGTTCCAGGCAATAAAAGGAACAGATCTGATCAGCCGCTTCGCAGTGCGAAGCGGCCGGGATGAGGCTCAGTGCCTCCAAATCCGAGGCCATGGTCTTGAGCCGGAAAAGGGTAGAGTGCCTTCTCTGGGTCAGGGGGGTCGTCTTGCCTCAAGTGGAGGAGTTTAAGTATCTGGGGATCTTGTTCACAAATGGGGGAAGAAGGGAGTCGGAGATCAACAGGCGGATTGGCGCAGCGTCTGCTGTAAAGCGGGCGCTGTACCGGTCCGTCGTGGTGAAGAGAGAGCTGAGTCAGAAAGCGAAGCTCTCGATTTACCGGTCGATCTACGTTCCTACCCTCATCTATGGTCATGAGCTTTGGGTCATGACTGAAAGAACGAGGTCCCGGATACAAGCAGCCGGAATGAGTTTCCTCCGCAGGGTGGCTGGGCTCTCCCTTAGAGATAGGGTGAGAAGCTCGGTCATCCAGGAGGGACTCCGAGTAGAGCCGCTGCTCCTCCACGTCGAGAGGAGCCAGTTGAGGTGGCTTGGGCATCTGGTTAGGATGCCTCCTGGACGCCTCCCTGGAGAGGTATTCCGGGCACGTCCCACTGGGAGGAGGCCCTGAGGAAGACCCAGGACACGCTGGAGGGACTATGTCTCTCGGCTGGCCTGGGAACGCCTTGGAGTTCCCCCGGAGGAGCTGGAAGAAGTGGCTGGGGAGAGGGATGTCTGGGCCTCCCTTCTGAAGCTGCTGCCCCCGCGACCCGACCCCGGATAGGCGGAAGAAAATGGATGGATGGATGGATGAGATCTGATCAGGTGGAACCGGTCCTGAAAGCTCAGCACCGGGTTTTATACCTGCAAGCATGTGCAGCCCCTCGTGGGCGATATTTCTGTAAAAATGGAAAAAAAATCACAAACCACAGTGACCTTATACCCAATAGGTGAGTTGGAAATACACACATTATTGATGTACCAATATGTCACTTCTAGTGTGTGGCCCGGCCCTTTGTTTATTTTTCTGTACTTGGCCCTCACTAAAAAAAAGTTTGGACTCCCCTGGTCTAAGGTCTTCAAACCCTGTCCTTTGTGACCCACTATCCTGCAAGTTCAAGGTTTCCCTGCTTCAACACACCTGACTGAAATGAATGAGGGACATAAGGAACATATTTAGAGGACTTTGTCATTGCCAACATGGGCATTGAAGTCCCTCAGGAGAGGAACCCCTTCCAGGGTCCCCTTCTTCCTGAGAAGTCCAGATGATCTGAACGACTGGTGCAAAAACACAAACATGACTCCCCTCGTCTAACTCAAATCCACAGAGGTGACCCCTCTTCTTCATCTGAGAACTCCAAATCTGAGATGCTCCGCTGGGAGCTTGCAAGTTTTCCCACACCCCTCCGACACCTCACTCCCTAAATAACTCTGGAGCAGGAGAGAGTCCACCCCGTCTCCAGGAGTCGGGTTCCAGAGACCAAGCTGTTTGTAGATACACACCTAGGTTTATGTTACCAGGAATTGGCCCACACGAGTCCCTGCTCTCACCTGTCACCTGTGTACACACAACCTTGATGGCTCTTTTTGAAGGTGGTGGACCCATGTGGAGGTGGCTTCCTGTCATTTTGCTTTGTTTTTTTTTTCAGCCCTGGCCCAAGCGTTAACACTCACAAACAAGCTTCCTCCCCAGCCTGGCTTTAGGGGTGTATTTGTTCCCTGTCCAGGTCTTTGAATCACTTTTAGTCCGACCCCTCCCATATTCTTTTTTTTTCTGGAACAGTCAAATACAAGGAGCTTGAGGGAAACGTTAGACCTAAAGTTTCTGAACGACCTTCAGAAAGGCAGAAAAAACTCAAGATTACAATAAAGTATGACTCCTTGAAAGCAAAATATAAGAGGGATGCATGAAGACTTTTGCACAGTGCTGTATAATTTTGTTTAGCCACAAATATTGAATGTGTATATACTTATATGGGATGAATGAAGATATTTAAAGTTATGTCATGTTGCTTTGTTTAAAGTATTACCACAGTGTTGGTGCTACGCTACATTTAAGCTGCCTAAGAAGGAAGTTCTGTATTTTATAACCTATTAAATCATCTATTCTTAAGACCTTGTGTAATTGTTTTTGTTCCACCCATTAAATGCAATACCCACTCTAGGGTTAAATAAATAACGTATTGAATTAATATTGCTGCCAAAAACATAGCTGTGATTCCAAACAGGGCTCCTGTCTTAGCGTGGAGCAGGTGACAACATGGCAGGTGCTGTATCGTTTTACCATTAGTCTGCAGTAGCCAAAGTGTGAGCAGCCAAGGAATGCAGCATGCTGACAAACAGCATGTGAGGCAGTGTGGACACATTCAGCACCGGCTGATTGATGAACAGCCATGTCAAAAGCAGCATCCAAGGACTCAAGAATTTTAACAGGGTTAATTCATTAAAAACACTTCATATTTTACACAAACGTGTTCATTAAGTTGTACTTTTCCACTTCCTGTTTACAAAGCGTACTTTTAGTTAAGCAGATAAAATGTGCAGTGAATTGAGTGATGCATTTAGACAAGTTTTGTTCCCATAAGATCGTGAGTGATCTTTCTGTTTGTATTGTTTTTTGTTTGTTTGTGTTTGGCTGCTCCGTTCATCAGGGTACACCAAGACAAGTGAACACGCATAAAAGATTTGTAATTGTTTTATGCCAGAATGTCCTGCCGCAGGATCACACAACCACAGAGCTAAAGCCACCACCATCATGTGATTTTCTTTTGTTCATACAGAAGAAAGACTCCTGACTTTTTACATTAGAGTTCAAACAAATTCTCATCTGTGTATGATTCTTACAGTTTGATTGCTGTTGGTAAAATAACAGATCATTAGTGTCACACGAACAGTCAAATAAAACCATGACTGATCAATAATCTTCACTAAACCTTTAAGGCTGAAGTGATTTGTAAATGTACTCTGATTACTTTGCCTCAAGTAAAGTTAAGGCAAAACTCATGAAAACTTTCTGCTGCTTCAGGTATACATTAATACTGTACACATGGAAGCAACACATAGTACATAGGTAGTATAAAATGTGTATGTAATGTCTCTGTACTTATGTTGTACTTACTTTGTACATAACTAATATTACCTGATACATACTTGGTACTTACAGGGTACTTACCGTGTACGTACTTGGTACTTACTGAGTATTATATACCAGAATGTGATGTGTACTTGCTGTGTACCAGGGAAGTAACCTGTGAACACCAGGTAAGTACAATGCAAATACCCTGTAAGTATCAGTTATGTAACCAGTACATCCCAATTAAGTATCCTGTGGAAGGTAATTACTTAGTAAGTACTAGATATGTACTCTGTAAGTACTTGGTATCTACCATAAAAATAAACTCAATTACCATATATTACCCTGTAATTTCCAGTTTTGTATATTGTAAGTACAATATATGTACCCTGTAATTACAAGTCTAATTTCATGTTAGTCCAAGATACTGTATATACCCTGTAAATATCAGGTAAGTACCCTGTAAGCAGTAGTCTAATATCATGTCAGTATCCTGTAGGTACCATATACTGTATGTACACTGTAATTACCAGTCTAAAACCATGTAAGTACCAGATATATACACTGTAATTACTAGTCTAGGACCGTGTAAGTACTAGATATATACCCTGTAAATATCATGTAAGTACCCTGCAGGTACACTGTTGATACCAGGTACCTACCAGGCTCTATTGTTATATGTATGTTTACAAAAATACTGGAGGATTTTACAGTGTTTCTTCTTCTTACATGCTTCACAGTTGTTTCTCTCTGAAGAAATAAACGCAGGCTTTTTCCACAACAGGACATGTAAAGCAGCAGGACAATAAGTATTTGAACCCCTGACTGATATGACCTGAAACAGTTGATCATCTCTGCTGCCAGGACTTGATGCTTAAGTTGCTTTGCATTCTCCTGAAGTCCAGACTGGTCCTTATCAGTGATCGAGTCTTTAGTAGATTCTAAACTGTGGAACCAGACTTAACTAGTGTTTTTAAGTCCCATTTTAAAACACATTAGTACTCCCTGGACAGCATGACGGTTGACAACTTTTGCTTCACTTTAATGTTTTATTATTTTACTTTGGATTTTTTTATGGAATCTTGTGTTTGGTACTATCTCAGTGTTTTTGTGTGCAGCACTTTAGCGGTTGAGTTTGAATGTGGTGCATAAATAAACTGGATTTTATTAGGTTTTTGACTTGCTTGAACAGTTTAGTTCTCTGATTATTCTTGAAACGCTGTCAGTCAGAACCAGTCTTACTGTATCAGAGGAAAAAGTCTGTAACCAAAATGCAACGAGGCAGAGTTTCATGGATTAATTTTTGAAATCAGATTGTGACTTTTTATCTTATTCCGTTTAACATTTACCTGTCAGCTGCAGCATCAGCGTTGTGCTGGTGAAATGTTTTCTCCCACAGCCTTTCTTAGGAACCCAACACCATCTGGGATTGTGAGGGGTGTTTTAAGAATTTGGCACATGGTAATTATAAATAAAAAAGTGAGATCAGCAAATGAAACTAGCATTCCTTGGTGGAATGCATTTCACACTTTTCAAAAGTAGATCTTGCGTGATCAGTTCTGATTATCAGCTTCAACCACAACTAATTTTAGCTCAGTATCTGTAAAAGTGACAGAATTAAAACTATGTTTGTGTTGGACAGGACTGATTAGCCGTGGCGGCCATGTTGAACTGAGCTGGTTTGCAAAGAGAGTTTCTATTGATGTAAATGCAGTGATTTCTTTATGGGAGTTTCCTATAAGGGATCCCCGATTAGTTGTAACATTATACTTTATTTGATAAACATATGTTTTTACTGTAAAATGAAGACTGTAAAAATACTGTAGGATGTTTAGTTTTTATCATTTTTAAACTAAAAGTTTAAAATTATATTTTAACACGGACAGAGCCATTTTATTTACATGCAAAGCATTCTGGGTAAATGATGACATGGATAGGTCCTCGGTGTGAGCGAGCTATATGCTGTGTTCACACCGAACGTGATTTCAGCTTCAAAATCGCAGCCAACGCTGAAGTTGGTTGCTTGTGCAC